AATTTCAGGATTCTTAGATGAATTTAAGATTAAGATAGTAGCATTTACTTGAAAACATACATCTTTCTTAACATTATAAATGTTTTTACTGTCACTTTTGATCAATTTTACCTCATTTTCCTGTGCCCTTGCTGAATAAAAAGTATGAATTTCTGGAAGAAAAGAAAAAAAAAAAAAACTTTGACCCCAAACTTTTTAACAGTATAGTGTATATCTGACCAGACTATCATGAAGCATCACTGCAGGGCCAGTAAGCAACCACCCAGTAAACCCTAGCAACCATCTACAACACCCTAGTATCGTGGTAATAAAAACAAATAACAGCATCTATAAATCACAGTATCTACTATTTCACAGACAAATGCTACTCATTTTTTATTTGTTTACATTATGTTCATAGGCACTGCTTTCACAAATATCAACATTATAGAGCGAGAGTACAAACATCACTTTTGATCAATTTTACCTCATTTTCCTGTGCCCTTGCTGAATAAAAAGAAGGATTTTTGGAAGAAAAAAAAAAAAAAAAAAACTTTGACCCCAAACTTTTTAACAGTATAGTGTATATCTGACCAGACTATCATGAAGCATCACTGCAGGGCCAGTAAGCAACCACCCAGTAAACCCTAGCAACCATCTACAACACCCTAGTATCGTGGTAATAAAAACAAATAACAGCATCTATAAATCACAGTATCTACTATTTCACAGACAAATGCTACTCATTTTTTATTTGTTTACATTATGTTCATAGGCACTGCTTTCACAAATATCAACATTATAGAGCGAGAGTACAAACAACTATATTTGTACTGATTTTACACAACAGTAAGGATGATACTGGGCTCAGTAGGAGCGAACCGTGCAGTATCACCATTATGCACTTGACCTCATTGCTCCAGGGGGATTGCCGTGAGCAACAAGTGTACTGTGAGTCACTTTGGATAAAAGCATCTGCTAAATGACTACTTACAGTGTTCATGTGATTACCAACATATTAAAGTAACATGCCACAATCAATTTAAATACAGTAAACATGTATGAAAGCACACTGGCTAGAAACGCAAGCGCTGATGTAAAGCAGAAGCGAGAGCAGATGATTTGTGCTCAACATGCGTGTTTTTCACCTAACATGTCCCACAATCCCACAGTGACCAGCACCAACTGCTCTGCAGATTGAGAAGTCTCGCAGGCAACACGACCGCATTAATTGGCCGTCCTAAGACATATTTCTCAAATTAAGTTTCGGAAATGAATGAGTGAATTAGTATAAGTGAATGAGAAGTGGCTAAGTTGTTATATCTATTGAACAGGAACCAAAATCAACTGGATCTGTAAAGATCCACATGTATGTCCTTATGTTTCAGGATCCATAGAGTCATATGAGGAAAGCAAGAAACTGGAGACTCTCTCTGTGTGACGGCAGATACTCTAAGCCAAAGCCTCGGCAATAAACAAGCTGACAACTTTCCCGACTTCACTGTGCTAGTGAAGGATTTATGTCGATGCAAGTTTGGCAGTCTTAAATATTCATTAAGTAAACATTAAACAACTCTTTGAACGAACAACATTAGCAAATGGATTCCAGGAAACTTAACCTGGGTACACTTGCGTAGGATTTTGGTGACCTGCATGTGTTCGACAGTGACAGAAGCAAGAAACACACTGCCCCGAGGAAGAAGGAAAAGTCCAAAACATAGCGCCTGTCAGACAGAAAGTCATTTGAGATGGCATCCTGGAGGCTTGTCAGACATTTTGAGATCTATCATAAACATATTCATTTAGCTAATGATCTGAATTACCTGTCATATAACCCTGGCACAAAGCCGGAGAAGGAAAGAAGCCAGATAATGCCACCCTCATTACCAATGAGCATCTTAATCAATGAGTATCAAGGGAACCAACAACCTTCAAGAGAGAAAAAGAGCGAAAAGGAGAGAGGAATGCACAAACTAAAACCTTTCGAGCCATTTCAGACATATGTCTCCTCTGGCTACACTGTAACATTTTTCTATGAAAAGCCTTATAAATGACTGGAGTGACATCATATTGACAACTCAGTGACATCATTACGTCCCAGCATACAGCGGACATGACATAAATACAGTGACTGCATTAATTCAGCATTTTTGCCCTGGTTAAAAGGTGTCTACTGCAGAACAAAAATCATACAGAACGTGTATATTTGTAAGTCGCAGTAACTGCTTGTTCTGACACAAACATTCAAGCACTTCATGCGTCATATTTAACATTCCAGAAAGTGACGGTGTATCATAGTCAGGGCCGTTTTAACCATTGGGCTAGGCGGGGCTGAAGCCCCGGGGCCCGAGCAAGGAGGGGGCCCGTGATTGACTGAGCAGTAGATTGACTGGAGCGCCGAACGCCAAAGCCACCACGCCCCCCACTTATTAGCGCTGTTATTTAGTTGAGCTTTTCCGTAAATTCCATGCATTACCATTAGAGATTAAAACATCACATTTGAATTTGGTTTGAACAGTTTTGTTTTAGATAATTAAAGCAACAGTTTTTAAATAACGAAAGAACATGTAAAAGTATGGTATTTTAGCCCCCTGCTGTTGGGGTTAAAGGCGCACAGTAATTAACATGATAATTAATAGATGGCTGACTTTTCCATTTGTTGACATGACATGGTTAGATTCAGATGGTAAATATCATATATTATGTTGGGTGTCCATATTAGAGATAATCACCATGTTTAGAATGAAACCATCATATTTAAAAACATAATATTAATCATATCATATAATAAAATAGAATTTTTTGTTACTACTGTAAATATATATTCAATTATTATTGGATCTCCTTCAATACTCTCAGAATCTTTACTTATTAAAACGAGTATAAATACCGTGTGCCTTTTACCCCATGCTGGCACATTTTTTCTTAAGGTGGTTGTACCCTATATATATATATATATATATATATATCATTATTGTGATGGGGGGCCCTGCAGTAAATCATAGCCCCGGGGCCCAGTGCGGTCTTAATGCGGCCCTGATCATAGTGCACAAAACATGCTTTCCATCTCCTTGCTGTTTGAGTGTTTGTGCAGCAGAAGAGGTTCATGTTTGACTTTGAAACGTCGCTGTGCTCTGGACCTGTGATTGACTGAGGCTGTGTTTACCTGAAAGCCTGCCCTCGTCAGCAGTGCTAGACGACAACACAACACAAACATGAACATCTGCTGGGCTACAGGCCACCTCGGAGATCCTGCTCTGTTATGACACAAATATGCAGTCTACTAACGGTTGGCTAGGTAAATCATTTAGTTGGGTAATGTTCAAAGTTTTTGTTCATGTTTAACTGGCTTTTATTTGTCTGAATAATGCCAGTGGATTTATACTGACACTTGTCGGCCTGGATGCATGAAGTTCATTTACTTCACAACAGTTTTGTTCTTCTTTTTTTTATCTCACACTAAACAAATATAACATTCTTCGATTCAATCTGAATAATTGTTTGTGCATTGTTGGTGGTTACACTTTTTTTCTCTACAGTGGCTGTGTGTTGCACACTTTATGCTTTGTATAGCATCTGAAAGCTACATAACATATTATTGCACTAAATATTAGTAGTAACACAGCCAATTGTATGGCACAGGTGGTCATATGATCGCAACATAGTTGTGCCTTGACCGGCTACATGCTGAATAAAACAGTTTAGTCTACATAACTAATATGACTGGAGTATTCATCTCATGTAGGTATCATATACATGATTTAAAAAATTTCTTAAAGGTACTGTTTATGTCATTAGAAGCAAAACTTTTCTCCAATTAGCAAACGATTACTAAGTGCACATTTAAGAAACAGGTAAGTTATTATAAGAAACTGTTGTGATGTTTCAGCATCAAGAGGAAAGTTGTAAGATGTAAATCTGAATATAACAAAAAGGCAGGCTGATCAAAGCTGCCAAAACAAAGCATCTAAAAGTAGATTTGGGATCCATTTCCCATCACTGTCGTCCTGCTTCTATTTTAATACCAAACAAAGAGTTTATCTCAGTTTATTCACTCAATCAAACGGGTTATGGAAACGCGCACTGTCCCTCACAGACAGCGCTAAAGAAACATCATTATTCCAGTTGTCATAATCAACTAGCTTTTTTCGCATGACAGATGTGCAGTAGGCCTGAGAGGGTGGGGCTACATTATTGACAGTAATTTACAGGCTTTGCTCGGATGCGTTTGTTCACTCAGGTGCGGCAGGTGCGCGCGCGGGGAGCGGGCTTATCGCGAGCCGCGCTGTTGCTATGGGTCGGCAGCTCCGTTGCCACGGCGCCAACAGGCGACGGCTGGAGGCCCTGGATGGAGAGGGATCTTGTGAAGGGAAGAGAGTGCGGCTCCGCGCTTTTCGCAAGCGTTAAAACTGCGCAACCTGTGGAGACTGCTGCGCAACACCAGCTGTCTGATAAGAAGGGAAATTCAACAGATGCACGCTCGAATGAGGGGGGCATGACTGACGGTGCTTCATTTCACCATTTGAGATGCTCTGAACAGAGTAATCACTGTGAACTGATGCGCCGATGACACCACCCCGAGTTCATTTTAGCCGCTGGACTGTGATCAATGCACTCTGGCCGCACAAAAAGGTTAAAAGCCCATTTTAAGTCTGAAGCAGCTGACAGGATAATCGATTGACATCTGTGTGCGCGTCTCTGACCACATGATCTATATACATGATCAAGCCGTGGCGAGCCATCCAACAAGTTCATCAACTACATAAACGCATTTCCTTCCAAAATAATAATAAAATAGCTATTGGGCATAAGTGGTTATATTTCATGACATTTGTTGATCATCCTCTCAAAGGCGATATGAGTGCGCATATAGTGTGTTTGAAAATGGAAGGGTTCGGGTAGCCTACACCCCCGCGTCATGCCCATGATAATGGCAACACACTCATCATACACCCCCCAACACATCCATATGGCACACACACACAGTTTCCAAACAGAGGGAAGACAAATAGAGAAATTACCTTGATGGTTTTCAAGGGTGTCCTCCGGTATGTACATGTTTTTGCTTTCATTTACCATATATGTGGTCCAGCTTTATCCGAAGGTGAATGAAGAAAATGTTGTAAAAAAAAAAAAAAGGAGGGGGTAGGAAAAAACAACCCAAGGGAAAGAAATGAAAGAAAAAAGGGGGAAGAAAAAATGAAAAACGCAAAGCGTAAGATATTCCTTCTCTTGCGGCTTAGTTAATATTACCTGATCCCCATTATGGAGCTAAAGATCAGGAAAGGATAATCGCAAGAACCACCTAAGAAAACGAACCAGTGCATCTTTGGAACATCCGGGCCCTACCTAAGAAACATGATACCAGCGCCGCTTGCTGATAATCGATAATCAAATCGGCGCGATTCGCTCGGAAACGGTTCGAAAAGGATGCTGCAGCAGCCAGTAGAAGCGCATGAGAAGCGGGCGTAGGTTTCGGAGACCGTTTCAGAAAGCGCAGCAAAAGGTAAAAAAGGTGTGTATATTCCAGATCTCACGGGCTTCAATCTTCACATATGATCGATTCCATCTGAGATGTTCCACAACAGGCGTAGTTTGCGTCGCGCCTCGTTAGGAAACAGAGTGCATAATCGGCCGCGTCCAGTCCATATTGGAGAGAAAGGGGAGTAGTCAGTCTGTGGCCCTGCGGAGAGAGAGCGCACACCACCAGCCTCTCTGCAATGATCTGACGACCAATCCCCCTCCCCTGTAGACTCCCTGACTGCTTCCAGATGTGACTGCGCTAGAAAGGAGAATAAATCCTCCACGCTTTTCCACACGGGCTGGATCTCTTGAGGGAGAGAGCAAACTTGGGAAGACCGAGTCGAATCAGCTCCAATAAGCGTAGCCAGACTATGAACCGATTCGAGTTCTTTTACAGTCCGGAATCATGTCAGAAGATGATTTGTACCATAACGAATCTTGCGTGAATACCCTCACAGTCACGGCTCCATGCACCATGTTTAGACATTATCCACTTCCTGCTGCCTGCCGGGATGCTACTTTTGGGGAGAATGTTGGGTTCCCCAGCAGCAGGTGTCGGGCCTGATTTTTCCCTGCAGCTGAGGTTTAACTGGCCTGATCTTCCCATGGCAGGACAGGCCGTTTCCTGAGGACTGGTGGGCTCTGATAAAGGGGACGATGGGGCCTGGGAATTTCTGTAAGATGACTGAGAATCTTTCATCAGCAAATGGCCTAGTACGAATTTAGCAGGCCCTTCACTGGTCCCTCCCTCCAGCCATGAGAAAACTTCACATGTCCCAAGAGACATCCCCTGCCCCCAGATTATCATTTCTTGCTCGTGCTCTTGCTCTCTGCGCATCAGAAGTGCAGATTTTGAATTTTCAATCAGTCAGAAGAACCATGAAGCATGCAGCGGGAAAGAGAGGCACTCAAAACTGCAGGTTTTCAGATGTCCCTCTGGATGAATGAAAAACAAGCTCTCCCAGTTCATGGACATTCAATCTACGGCCAAGTTCTTTGATTGAATTTGGCTTTGAACAAAAGTTCATGACAGAGGTCAGCGATTTCCCTTCAGCATCCTCAAATAATTGATTAACTTTGGTATGTTTATTCAAAGCACAGACGAAATGTTCACAAAGTGGTTTTCAGTGCCACCCTGTAATCATGAGCATCTGGGAATCCAGGGATCGGACTTCACTGGTCCCTCCCTCCAGCCATGAGAAAACTTCACATGTCCCAAGAGACATCCCCTGCCCCCAGATTATCATTTCTTGCTCGCGCTCTTGCTCTCTGCGCATCAGAAGTGCAGATTTTGAATTTTCAATCAGTCAGAAGAACCATGAAGCATGTAGCGGGAAAGAGAGGCACTCAAAACTGCAGGTTTTCAGATGTCCCTCTGGATGAATGAAAAACAAGCTCTCCCAGTTCATGGACATTCAATCTACGGCCAAGTTCTTTGATTGAATTTGGCTTTGAACAAAAGTTCATGACAGAGGTCAGCGATTTCCCTTCAGCATCCTCAAATAATTGATTAACTTTGGTATGTTTATTCAAAGCACAGACGAAATGTTCACAAAGTGGTTTTCAGTGCCACCCTGTAATCATGAGCATCTGGGAATCCAGGGATCGGAAAAAAAAAATCAGGGGCATCGGTACAGAAGGAAAACCGGTTAATGTGTCGCTTCAAAGATTACAAAATTCCTCCCAGCTTCCAGACCCACATTTCAAATGTCAAGATGAATCATGTCTCTGTCTGCACACTTAATGTGATACAGCAGTGGCTGTGCTCTACAGCCAAAGGCTACACCATTTTTTTTAAATAGCACTATAATTAACCAATTACCTAAACATAACTGAGGCGACATATATCCCTTTTGTACTGACTCTTACCCCACCACGTAATGAGAATTAAATATACCGAACATACAGGTTTAATTTCTAAAATATATGTTAGTTGATTAAGTGTACTTTTTTGGCAAGTTTTGTCAGCCCAGCTGAGATATCATTAAAAAAACTGCTTGGGCTGCTGTGCTCTCTGGAACAGGTCTGAAATCCTGCCGAGAACGAGGATAAATCACGAGTAGTTGTACAGCGATGCCCTCTAGTGGCAAATGAGTGAAGTGTCGTTGAGTAAATTGTTCTTTACAAGGTGCACTTGGAAAAGACTAGTTATAATACGACTGTCACCCTGAAGCAACCCTTGTGTCTTGCTCAAGGGGCACAATAGCATTCAGTTTCTAGGTTTTTCCTGTTGCAACCTTCATGTAGACTCCCTAGTTGAAACTTCTTTTAAGGGTGCACACCAGTTAACTAAACATTGTTAATTGGTGGCTGGCATTTTCACTAAACATGGTGAAAATGCCAGCCAATACAACATAAACATAACATATGTTTATGTTGTATTGGCTGGCATGACAGTTGTCATGGATGATGCAAAAGCATGTACTCGGCTACTAGTACAATTTTAAAGTACATTATTTTCAGTGAGATATGATCATTTTAATAAGTCAAAAGCGTTAGATAATATTGGGGGATATATTGAGATAAAATAACTATTTGATCATGCGATTTTTACCATTAATTTCTATTGGAATAAAACAGGAGGGGAAAAAATCCTAAGTGCGCCTTTAAATTACAGTAACATAGGGACGTTTGACTATTAAAATTGCAGCAGGACAGTAAGTCCTCTGGACTGCGAAATATGTTTTAGAAAGAAAATGCAAACAAACAGACATACATTTATAAAAACTTAAAACTTCAAATCATGCCTACCAGAGGATGAATTGTGCAGGAATGCGAGAATTTCACATCCTCAAGGGCTCCCCTGGACGCACAAACTCTGCAGCGTCAGCTCACTTTATTAGTACCATGACCATGTTGTAAATTAAAGGTCTGGCGGGTCTCAGGTGAGCTCAGGCCAGCTGCGGGGGGCGGGGCTTCAGGCTCATCGCTTATTCTGGCTCCTCGATTACTTTTCCTGTGTGCGAGAGAGCTCAGCGATCAGCTCGTTCTGTCTTGTTGTCAACGCAAACATGGCGCGAGCTGGATCTTTCAGGAGTTAGAGAAGTGAAATAAAGCGATATATTCATGTTTTACTAATTTGCAGAACATTGAAAACGTACACCAGGAGACCGGAACGTGAAATAAAGTGTTTCAGTCCTGTTTTACAGAGTTAAATCTCGTTTTAAAGGAAATTTAGGAGTTGTGCGGTATTTTAAGTGCAGGTAAGTTTCACTCCAGCCCGATCTATAACAGGGCAGCAGCATCTAACCAAGGCCTCGATTATTTCATTTGTAGACTTATGTAGGCATGGATTATTTAATTATTAGTGGCAAGCATCAGTTACTATTGTTCATACACGGTTGGGGACTTGAGCAAACTACTAACCCGCAGTACCAAACTTCTGTTTGTAAAACGGCCCGCAGAGTTTGTGCTGCGGACATGAATGAATGATGCTATTACTTTAAGTTACTAGCGATCGGATTTGCAACGAACGAGGGACCCGAACCAAATCTAGGGCCCATAATATAATGCAGACTTGAAGGTGGGCTCTTTTAGCTTGGGCCAAACTTAGCAACTGCATAGGAAGACTTTGTCAACCACACAGCATCATTGCTTTAGAATATAAAGTTTATTTTATAGCCTTATTTATTGTATTAATTCATTTATGAATGTATTCACTTTAATTTTACACACGTCTGATATATTTATTTTATTTAACGGTATCAACATACATTCCTGATTTATTTATATTTCAATTAAATGACTTTCACAGCTCTGATTTATTTAGTAAACTTAAACAGGCTTACATTTATAAAATATTTAAATGTTTGCATGCCTAATTGTTTTTAAGCTTTGTTTTACTTTTGTGTCTACATTTATAACTAGACCAGTGGAGATTGTTGTAGGTACAGCTTTTGATCATAATTGGGACATACAAGACTGTGTATAGATGTAGAAACAACATTTTACAAAACATTAAAACATGCAGTATAAAGTTCAGTTCGTACTCTGAAATATATTTCAGATAAAGGATTTATGGGGAGTAGTTAAAATATTCCTAATAGGCTATGATGATACTGATGCATGTAAACGATTGCTGAGCAGCCTTACAATTGTTGGAATTAAACACTTCAATCTGAATGTTTTAGTGAACAGTAATCTCGGCCATCTGCATGGTTTTATTTAAACATCATATACTTTATTTACAGAACAAGACTGGAGCCATGACTGCAAGCACAGGTGGCGGCGGCAGCTGTTTATCCATGAGTCTGTCTGCCCTAAAGAGACTCGACCCATACATTAGCAGCATCACAGACCTGGCCAGTCAAGTAGCACTTTACACCTTCAACAACACCACTAATGAATGGGTAAATGATTATATCAACACAATCAATGACAGTTAATGGATATATAGATTAATGACTGCTGTAAAAAAAAAAAAATTGTACATTTTTTTTAAATGTTAGTTTATTTTTATTTTAAGTTAAATATAAATATATATATATATATATTATTTTTTTTATTTTTATTTTTTTAAGTTAAATATATATATATATATATATATATATATATATTTTTTTTTCTTTGTAGAAAAGCAATGCAGCCATCCACAAGAAGTGTATTGATAAAATTATTGGAAGGTGCACGGGCACTGCAGCCAATAGTCGAGACACTATGGTATGTTTTGTATTAAACTATTTTGTATTTTATTTTATTGTGCCATGGTTATTTAAAGTTTTTGTGTGCCTACAGTTTCAGAAGGAACGTTTTAAGATTGACATGCCACATCGCTTTAAGACCTACAACTACATGAGCCCCACCTTTTGTGACCATTGCGGTAGTCTGCTGTGGGGCCTTGTCAAACAGGGCCTCAAATGTGAGGGTGTGTATACTGTGTGTGGATGAGGATGTGTATGTATTGAAAAGGCCCCAAATTAACTGCTAGCCATTATTTGTTTACATTGTGGTTTCAAACATTTTAATATTTAGAAATACTTAAAATTACCAGCCCACTAGTCAGTAACTTTATAAATTGGCTAGTTATAATTACTTGGAAAAAAAGGCACTTTTTGTTATTTGGTGCTAGTCCTAATGTTGGACCCTGATTATCTGTTTGCAATCGTCTCTTCTCTTTCAGACTGCTCCATGAATGTCCATCATAAGTGCCAGACTAAAGTGGCCAACCTGTGTGGCATCAACCAGAAACTACTGGCAGAGGCTCTTACCCAAGTCTCAAGTGTAAATATTAA